TGGAGCTGAATTGAGTTCGATTGAGTTGCACGTTGCTCAGCGAAGCACATCCACGCCGACCGGTGCTACGCTGCAGCTGTTCCTTGCTATCCGTGTGCAATGAGGCTTCTAACAGTGCTATTGCAGTTGGTCGAGTGGCTGGCGGCCAAGCCAGGAATCCCACTGTGAAGCTGAGACAGTCATTATCGTGGCAAGTACTCGAGCACGCAAGCACGCGAGTGCATGCCAGCGCAAATGCCGCCATTATGGACTGCCGCCATTATGGACTGCCGCCATTATGGACTGCAGCTGGTGTGCTGGTTGGAGTCAGAATGGAGTCAGAATGGGGTCAGAATGGAGTCAGAATGGAGTCAGAATGGAGTCAGAATGGAAGGCTGCATTGTGTAACAGTGGGCAATATCGCGACCCCTCTGGACTGAACTATTAGGGGAGATTGGAGGAGGAGCAGAAAGAGACTACATAAAAGCAAACTTTTGATCACCCCCATTCTGACCAGCAGGGCATCGTCTACGCTCACCTCGCTCGCGTAACAATTGGTTGCGCAGACTACACGGCAGACTGGAGATGTTGAACATGGTCCTGTAGCTCAGTGGTTAGAGTGCTCGCCTCCGGAGCGAGAAGTCGACGGTTCGACCCCGCCCAGGATCGATCTACTTTTGCCTTTTTGCTCTCGCCTGTCGTTTGTTTGTCTTTGTGCTTTCTTGCACGCTCACCACATTGCATCTGTGTCTGTGTATTGCATTCCATCGCCAGCTGCTCTGCTCTGCCCTGCCCTGCTCTGCTCTGAGTGTATTTCGTTCCGTTTATCTCGTCTTGTCTCGTCTCGTCCTTTCCGGCCATCTGATACCACTTCCACATTCACTCCTCGCCATTCCCTCAGTGTCCGTTCCTCCTCCTCCCCTCCATCTGTTCATTCGTGTTCTGTCTCCATCTTGTCTGTCGCTTTATCTCACTGCTTCTCAGTGCAATACTGCCTCAGTATCTGGATGATTTTTTATTCATATTCCCCCCCCCTTCACTCAATATTTTAATGTCTCTAACGATCACCTATATACTTATGGTCGGTATATACAACCTTAAGTAATGTTCATTTCAATTGTTACTCTGCTTGTTTTGGGATCTTCACAGCCTCAGATTCCAAAGGCAAAATCAGCTTCTTCCTCTCCAATGCAGCTTGTAAATCGCTATTTCCGCCAAAATGCCTTTGCTTAATAAAGATGTTTGGAACTGTGGTCTGCTTCGTCTTCTCGTACAGATATTCTTGGATCGCTTCGCCATCTTTCTCAAGGTCCAGCTCCAGTGCTGTATATGGCTGCTTGAGAGCATCAAAGGTCGCCTTGGTTCTCAAGCAGAATGGACAATATGACTTGCTGAATACGACAACATTGTTTCGTGAGATGAGGTTGTCGACTAGTCTTGCTACCACTGCTCTAGCGTTCGCCATCTCGTGCTTGTCTGTGTATATGTATGTGTGTATGTATGTAGATCTGGTTTGCAAGTTGAAATAAAAAAAGTTTGTTCGGAGAGTTGCGGCCTGGATGGAGATTACAGGACAGTTGAATCCTTCTCGGCTGTCAACCTTCCCTGTTTGTGCGCCATTTTATACTCCTCTCACATGCGCATGTTTGCTTTGAAATCCATCTCATGACGACATCTTCCTACAATAATTGTTAATCACTGGATATTACAAATACAAGTCGTCTTTAAGCCAAATAAAATCAAATAAAGTAAAAGTAATAATGACTTCGATATACTTTCTTTTTTTTATCATCTTTATTCGTTTAAGAGTTAACATTGAACTTGTATCCGCATTGCAAACAGTTGAAGAAAATAGTCTGGCCTTCATCAGCCGATCTCAGCTGCGCCGTTGTATATGCCATTTCCGTTGCTCCACACTCTGGACATGTTTCGTCAATCATTGCATGTTCTGGAATATCCGCCACAACACCTGCAACCAACGACCGCTTGTTTCGCAGCTTTGATGGGAACGCATTGCGGCTGCTGGTGGTAACAACAGGGATGTTTTCGAACAATTTGGCACTCTGAGTGGAACCGCATACAGAGCAGTTGATGTAGTCTTCGTCGGCTGGACTGTCGAGAAGATTGCCGCAATCTGGGCAAAAGACGAGTGAGCCGTACTGGATACGACGTAAAGAGCCGGCGGCTTGGGAAGCTGCGAGCTTGAGCTGTTCTCGTGCTGATTTGGCGTCCGCAACTCTCATTTTCTGTTTTATAAAAGTATAGTATTTGTGTTATTCAAGAAAAAAAGATAATAATAATAATTAAGCGGGTTGATCTGCTTGCGATTGTTTTTAAAAAGCGCACAAAAAAAAGAAAAAGAAAAAGAAAAAGAAAAAGAAAAAGAAAAAGAAAGGATATGTTGACGGAATTGGTGCTGTCTGCCAACAAGGGTGGTCCGGCAATGTACGCCTGGGATCTCCGAACGGGCACGGTCCGCACCTCGTTCAAGCAGTGCGACGTTGGCCACCACAGTGTTGCGGCGGCCGGCTCTCGAGATGGACCAAACCTCTCGCCCAGTCTCTTTTTGGCGCTCAAGAGCGATTGCCTCTCCATCAGCGCGTATTCATGGTCGAAAGAGCTGCCTATGTTGACATTCAGATGTCCCGAAAAGCTGGCGTGTATAGCGGCGTCTCCAGACGGTGTGTTTTGTGCAGCAGGTGCTTACAACAGCGGCAACGTGTATGTGTGGGAGATTGCAACCGGCACAATGCTGGCATGCTTCCAAGCACATCGCGGAACTGTAACTGTGATCCGGTTCAGCAACGACGGAACTTTGCTGATTACAGGTGGACACGATGCATTGGTTCAGAGCTGGATAGTGTCAAATGTTGTTGCAATCGAGAGTCTTGCGTTGGATTCAAGAACAGCGCACACCACAATGGCTGACCATTCGCTGCCAATCACTGATATCCAAGTTGGCGGAGGCACTGCAGCTTCTGGGAGAATTGTTAGCACGGGAAGAGATGGAAGATGCAACGTTTGGGACTTGGCCACAGGTGAGCTTGTTGTGACATTTGTGCTGCCATGTCCAGTTTGGTCGGCTGTAATTGATCCAAGCGAGCGATTTGTGTACATGGGCTGCGATGATGGCTTAATTAGAATGGCTTCATTGTACAAGCGAAATGCAACTACTGGCGATATCTCATCGGTCGGTGAAACCACAGCGACTGTCGGATCAAACGTAATCGCAGTGTCATCAGCTTCGTCTGAAACTGCATTCATTGGTCATTCACAAGCTGTTCGTTCATTATCCTTGTCATTTGATGCAACTTTGTTGGTTTCTGGCAGCGACGATGGATCAGTTAATGTATGGGATACAGTCAGCAGAAAAGCGCTCCGTACATTTACGGGTCACAAAGGTGCACAAATCACACATGTTGACATCATTATCAGCCCAGCTGCATTCGAGCCGTGGTCAAGTGCCCCTGATAGCACAAGTACAAGTGCTGGCATCGCGATGGCTGGAGTTGGCGCTGCTGCAGGCGCTGGTGGTGCTGGTGGTGGCGGAAATGCACAGCATGGGGCTGCACCAATGATGTCACATGCATTGGCAAGACTGCATGGAACTGGCAGCTCTGATGAAGCCGTGCGTGCAATTCTGGGCGGAACTGCTGCAAATGTGCCACCGCTGGTGAGCATGTTCTCATTGAAGCGAAAGCAGAGACTGGATCCTAATGAGCCTCAAGGTACTGATAGAATCCATCATGATGGTTCACTCATGTACCTGGCTGCTTCGGATAATCTTGATTTCCAGTCACTTGGCTCATCCTCTTCGGCTCTACTCGGTGTTTCCTCTGTTGGCAGTTCGAGTGTGGCAGACGATACAATGCAAGTCGAGGCTGCGAGAGCCGAGCTGGAATCGCTAAAATCAGAGATTGGCCAGCTTCGATCATTGCAGTCATCAGTCTACAACTCGTTAGTAGATGCCACATTGGCGTCTATTTAACAATTGAACTATTTAACTGAGGACCCTCCATCTAAAAGGAAAAGTAGTAAGAGAAAGAATAAACTATTTTAATGAACATTACTATTTCGGGTTTAAATCAAGGTTAGAGGACACTATTGTTATCATATCATTTTAAAGTTTTGGAATGCGTAGTCGCTTTGAGACCATTGCAGTTCCACTTGCAGCATAAACCAGCACGGCCGGGTGAATAGACAAGCTGCCAATAACAAACACCTCTCCGCCATATAAAGCATTAAACACCAGGCCCTGTTTCAGCCAATATGCCACAACAACCACAATGATCAACGATGTTGGGATCGGCGTGCCCTCAAAGAACTTGATCTTGCCATCAGACTCCTTTGGAATGGACGCGACTGTTGCATTGTATCTCGCCAATCTCGCAATTCCACAGCAGACAAAATACACCAGCGCCGCGATATCAAGTGACGTTTGGAACCCAACTGCAAATCCAAGCATGGCAGGTGCCAGGCCAAACGAAATCAAATCTGCAAGCGAGTCTAGCTCCTGGCCAAGCAAAGATGCAGACCTCCGCCAGCGAGCGACACGGCCATCAAACACGTCAAACAGCGCGCCGAGAGGCAGCAGGTAAATGGCAGTCCAGAGATACCAGTCGTTACGAGTCACAAGGTACTTGGCGGATAGCAAGACGGAAGTTGCGCCGCATACACCGTTTGCTAGCGTAATAAAGTCTGCCAGATGAAACGAACGAACCATAGAGAACCGCTCCGGCTGCTGCTGTTGCTGCTGATGAGAAGCGATGGAGGTGGTAGTAGCAGATGACGACGCACTGTGCGCCTGCTGTTCACTGCGACGCTGTGTCAGAGTCGTGTCTTGTTGCTCTTGCTGTTGCTGCTGCTGTAGTGGATTGCTCATTGCCGTCAAGACAGTTGTGTATGCACAAAGGGAATAAAAATTATCACAAGCTTCACTGTGGAAAAGGGGAAAGAGGAACCTACCAAACGTCCACAAAGCCATCCACAATCGAACAAACATCGGGTCCGCCTGATGGACCCAATACGGTGGCTTCGAGGCGCATGAAATCAACAATAGCAACTACAACAATAGCAACAATAACTACATCGCCTGATGCGTTAGATAACCGAGACGTGATGTCACGTAACATAATGCATAGCTTGCAGCACTGTGGTGGATTGACCAAGGTGGAGAGCGATGTTCGGACTGGAGAAATGCTCTCACTCTCACCCACTCACTCACTCACTCACTCACTCACTCACTCACTCACTCACTCACACATTGCATGTAGGACTCTATCTAGAGATTGGCAGGAGTGATATCAGCTATGGGAAGAGTGATGATGTACAAATAGCAACAACAACGCCAGCCGGCGTGTGTGTGTGTGCGTTCTCTTCTCCAGGCCAGCTTCTTCTCTACTCCAGCCTACTCCAGCCAACTCGATACGCACTCTTCTTTTTTATTTTACATACTATACAAGTCATATCAGCAAGCTATGCGCGTCAACCACGGTATCCTCGCTCTCGCTGCAACTGCCTCGTTGTGCGCAGCTACACCCGGAAAAGTCGATTTCACAAACTGTGATGCCGGTAAAGCCTCGTCCCATCTCGATGCGGTCATTGTTGACCCGTATCCACCAACTGGCGGCCAGGATCTCCATATTGAGCTCCAGGGCACGCTAAGCAAG